TCGCCACACAAGACCGCGCAGAGCTTGCGAAAACGTGGCAGAGCGGACGCCGCGCGTGCGCAGTCGGCATCCTGCGCTCCACAACGCCCCGAACACCCACAGTTCCAAGGGCAGGGCCGCATCCGGAAGTCCGTAGAGCGGAGCTACCAATCTTCGTCCTCTGATTCGTTACTAACCTTCCACTTCCGTAGACAGTTCTTCCCGTCTTCCGCCGTCTGCGAGGTGGGTCGCTACGGGAGTTGCGCGCCCGCCCTGTTTTGTTTCCGGGGGAAACTACTTCTCTGAAGGACTCTCGGGACTTCCGTTTGTTCGCCTCGGCTTCTAATTGGCTGCTTTTATGAATATATTATAAAACGAAAAAAGATGTTTTTTTAATAAATACAAATTAAATAAAGACGATTGAATGCAAACAGTTGTGATTTCCCACTGAGTTCTTGCATTTCCGTAAATGTTCCTTTATGAATAGCAAACAAAAAGTCACCCTCACTGTGAAGTAATTGACAGATTGGTCCTTAAATAGGCGGCGGTTGGAGTTTGACGGTGTGTTGTATGAAAGGAGAGAAGGTTAGCACTCCCCTTGACAAGGATGGAAGAGGCTCTCGGGCCTGACAACACGCATACGGTTAAGGCATTGCCACCTACTTCGTGGCATCTAACCACCGTTTTTATTTTTTATTTTTTTGGTGGCATCCAACAACCGTTTGGTGGCATCTAACCACCGTTTTCATTTTTCGGTTTTTTTTTTTTTTGGTGATATCTAACCATCGTTTTCATTTTTCGTTTTTATTTTTGGTGGCATCTAACCACCGTTGTTTTTTTTTTGAGACGGAGTTTCGCTCTTGTTACCCAGGCTGGAGTGCAATGGCGCGATCTCGGCTGCGACATCCACCTCCCGAGTAGCTGGCTAATGCGCGCCACCATGCCCGGCCAATTTGTGCATTTTGGGTAGAGACGAGGTTTTGCCATGTTGGCCAGGCTGGTCTCAAACTCCCGACCTCAGGTGATCGACTCGCCTCGGCCTCCCAAAGTGCTGGATGAAAGGGGTGAGCCGCCGCATAGCCCGGCCTGTGCCTTCATCCTAATCGACCCTCCCTGGCACCGGGACGGTGTTCGCGTCCCGACACCGGCCCCAGGGCGTCTCGGCGGGTCGGCGGGCGCGTCCCCAGCGTCGCAGACATTCCCTGGTTCAAAGCCTGATGGAAGTTTCCGCTCGACAGTGATTCATTCAAAGAAAACTCAGCTTTGGGCACACGGAGCGAACCCGCCGCCCGCCAGGAGCGCGTTCCCGGCCGCTCGCGAGCCCCCGCGCGGAGCCCGGTGGAGATCGCTGCAGCGAGCAGGGCGCACGGGGGGTCCACGCCCAAGTCCAGACCCCAGGAGGCGCGGGCTTGGAGCACCGAGTCGCAGGGAGGGCCCCGCAAGGCCCCAGGGCCGGAGGGGCACCGGGGACCAGGAGCCGGGACAGAGGGTGACCCGTCGGGCCTGTTCGACGCGGGGCTCCGGGGACCGGTGCCAGGATTTGAACTTTGACCCGTAGCAAGGGCGAGACCCTGAAGGATCTCCCGCGGCGGGGAGGGATAGGGCCCGATGAGCTCAAGGAACGTTCCTCCGGCTGCACCCGGAGAACGGCCCAGCGGGCAAGGATGGCAGCGGGGAGACCTCCAGGGCCGAGGCGGGCGAGGCCGGGGGCCGGGGCGGGGCTCCACGGAGCGGGTGAGAGCCCCGGGTTCGGAAGAAGACGCGCAACAGCCATGCAGGGCGGGGTCGGGGTGACTGCAGGGTGTCAGGGGTCCCCGGGCCTGAGGCCTGGCATGCGGACAGCAGGCTGGTGAGTTCGCGCAGCTCCAGGGCTCAGGCCCGGGCTGGCAGCGCACCCGCCACGGGAAAGCCACAACCTGGCCGGCGGCTCTTAGGACACGGTGGGCTGATCCCGGTGCAGGCTGAGCCCGGGGGCTGGAACCGCAGCCCGGCTCGCCCCCTGCACCCCGACGACGAAGCTACCAGGCGACTTTCATCGCTTACAGCCCCTGCCCTCGGGGTCACGCCATATTCTGGTATTTCCCTCCCCAAGAGGCCTCATGGGAACCCTCCCTCCTGCCCACCGAGCTTTTGGCAGAAGAGTTTACTCTCGGGAAAAACTGAGACTTTGAAATAGGCATAAGGAAAAACTCTGCACAACGTTAAGGAGTCTGAGCAGCGGGCCAGGTCTCTCCGCCTTTGGCCTTGGCTGTTGCTCGAAACGGCAGCACCCTGAATGTGCCCAGTGGGATGTGATTATTACGGCGGATTTTGACCTTTGGCCAGTTTTGAATTTCTTTACAATTTGTCTCAGCGTTTGTTTGCCCACGTTAAGTGTGGGACTTCCAAGTGGTTGTAACATCTTACAGGTCCCCTCATTAGTTGAGTTACATCAAACCTTTGCCAAGTGGATCTTTCTTTTAAGAGTGCCTGCACCGCCTGCTCCCCCACGCCCACTGGGCTTCGTGTTGAGGGTCAGGGTCTCCCCGACGGCGTAATAAGCCATCTCAGGGCACGGCCCAGGAGCAGGCATTAATCTACTGGGATTCAGCATCCTCTGCCCTTCCCCTGGGTAACCACACCTGATCCTCCTCCTGAGTCTTTTTTTCAAGAACTCCTCAGGTCATCCTCTATCCTAAGGTAGCTCCTTGCTGGGACAGTGAATCCACACGACCAACACCCTTATCCCACCAGTGTTTTGAGAACTTCCTTCATGGGCTGAAGAACAGGATGTGCTGGCATGTGGCATACAGCTTGTTTTCCTAAATGACACAGACAGACCCCACCTGTGCCTGGTTCCCATCGATGGAAACCACCAGAAATGTACCCCAGAGGGCGAGAATGGCAGGCAGGCTGAGAAGGTTCACCTGGTCTGTGTGTGTGTCCCTGACACGTGTCCTGGGCACTAACTCCTATAGGTTTTTGTTTTGTTTTTTGAGATGGAGTCTCACACTGTCACCCAGGCTGGAGTGCAATGGCGCGATCTCAGCTCACTACAACCTCCGCCTCCCGGGTTCAAGCAATTTTTCTGCCTCAGCCTCCTGAGTGGCTGGGATTACAGGCGTCCGCCACCACGCCCAGCTAATTTTTTTGTATTTTTAGTAGAGATGGAGTTTCACCATGCTGGCCAGGCTGGTCTCCAACTCCTGACCTCGTGAGCCACCCGCCTCGGCCTCCCAAACTGCTGGGATTACAAGTGTGAGCCACCACACCTGGCTTAAACTCCTGTAAGTCTTTAAACATAGGACTTGAGTATGGACTGGACAGATGTTTATCAAATAAGACCAATCTGCTGATGAGTCAGCTGCTTGAACAGGCACACAGCATCACCTGCCATGTCCCGAATCAAGCAGGAGGTGTGGCCGGCTGCCATCCCCACTGCCAGGTTATGGGAGACAGGAAGATGCTGAACAGCCCCACAGAGACGCACTCTGCAAAATAAAACCAGACCAGGAGGCACAAGATAAACGACCTGGTTTCAACGGACACATGGTACAGAAAAAAGGGAGGACCTGGCAATTTAAAGAGGGGCCGGGCACGGTGGCTCACACCTATAATCCCAGCGCTTTGGGAAGCCAAGGCAGGCAGAGCACTTGAGGTCAGGAGTTGGAAACCAGCCTGGCAATATGGTGAAACCCCATCTCTACTAAAAATGCAAAAAATTAGCCAGGCATGGTGAATGGGTGCCTGTAGTTCCCAGCTCCTCGGGAGGCTGAGGCAGGAGATCATTTGAACCTGTGAGGTGGTGGTTGCAGCGGGCTGAGGTCACACCACTGCAGCCCAGCCTGGGCGACAGAGCGAGACATCTCCAAAACAAAACAAAACAAAACAAAACAATAGAGGCTTGAGGTAAAACAAATGCAGGTGAAGACCTTGTCTGGATCCAATTCCAATCGTGTGTACACACAGGCATACACCTGTCCAGCACATGCATTTGTGTGCACACACATACCCTCGCGGGTGCATCTACACACACACACACACACACTCGCTGTGATTCGCTGCACACAAATGTACTTATGTGCACCCACGTGCAGGTGTGCACTACACGCATGTCTACGCGTGTACACATGCGAGATGCGGGTGTGTGCACATGCGGGCACACACTTTTCCTAAACATACCAAGACAACAGGAGAAATCCGAACATCAGATAATCGCAGCACTTTGGAAGGCGGAAGTGGGAGGATACCTGAGTCCAGGCGTTTGGGACCAGTGTAGGCACCATAAAAATCCTCTCTGCAAAGTTAAAAATTAAAAAACTTGCTAGCCTGTGAATAAAATAATTAAAACAATAAAGCAATTAGCCGGGCTTGGCATCATGTGTCTGTAGTCCCAGCTACCTGGGAGGCTGAAGTGGGAGGATCACTTGTGCCCAAGAGGTTGAGGCGGCAGTGAGCTGTGAACACACCGCAGTATTCCAGCCTGGGTAGCAGAGCAAGACACCATCTAAAAAATAAATAAAATAAAGAGGGTGGGGGGACTTTTTGGCATGAAAATGGCATTATGGTAATAACTCTCTGGAGGCTTATCCCTGCGATGCCAGGAGTTCACCACGTAACGTCCGGGATTTGTATGATGACGTGAGCAGCCATGGAACAGTGGTGAGTCCCCGTGGTAGCGACAGGAACCTGGGGACACCGCCCTCCGCATCTGCAAACTCCTGTTCATAGCACATGCCCTAGAAGAGCCTCCACAGCACAGCAGTGGCAGCAGGACTCTGAAGGAGCCCCCTTCGGCCCTGCCTACCACTGTCAGTAATTAGCACACGGGTATATGCCGAAGAGCTGAAAATCAATACAAAACGTGTACGTTATTAGCACTCATAGATGACGTTCCTAAGGCTACTGTATAAATCTAGGACTGTCCTGCAGGGCACGCTGGCACATCAGACACCACCCACTACCAGGGACAAAGCCACAGGGCGGCTTCCCTCCCACCCCACCGACAGCTACGTTTTATGTTAAGAAATTCTCACAGGACAAAATTAGAAGACATGAAAATTTTTATTTTCAAAAAGAATGTATTTTTACATAAATCTACAACAGAATTCAAATGTAGAAAAAATAAACTATATTCAGGGATACAGCACTCAGCACAGCACAGCCCTCCCCAGAGTGGGCTTTCCCCCCCGGAACGAGACTGCAGGAGCCTCACCGCCCCAGGGGTGCCCCACAGCAGGGCAGCTGCAGGCGGAGCTCCCCGAGTCTGTCACAACAGGCGGCAAATGCGGGGTGCCCAGACCCTGAGCGTCAAAGACAAAAATCAACCCATTTCATTGTGGCAGCTCACTTCTTAGCCCGGGTCCCTCTCATCTGTACACCTCATCAGAAAGAGGGGCAAGGTAAACCGTGGGACAGGCATCTCCAGATGCCCAGGTAATTCCCCCTTCACCTCTGCCACTAGAGGACCCCCAGGAGAGCCCACCCGACGAGCCCGCACCTCCCCCGTGGGCCGGTGCAACCACAAACCTGGAGGACTCACCCAGAACTCCAGCCTGACAGAGGCAGACCTGGCTGGGCTCTGGGGCCAGGGCTATTTGCAGACCCAGGACCCGGGCTAGCTTCCTGGAGCACCACAGCCCACCCTGCCCCAAAGCCCTGCCCCATGGGACAGACCCAGGCACCTGTGCCCTCGGCCACCCGCTCTGCCCCTCACCGTGCATGGCAGCCCCTACCACAAAGGTCTCCACAGACAGGCTCAGGTTCCAGCCTCACTCCCCAAAGGCTCCCGCTCAGCCTCCGCCGTGACCGCTGTGCAGGTGAGCACCGGGAAGCCGCATGGCCAGGAGCAGAGGCAGGCAGGCGAGGGCTGGCATGGTGAGGCCTCTCGCTTAGCACCCGATCCCTTGAGGAGCTGCTCCTGGGGCTGCCGGGAGACGGGAAGCCGAGGGGCAGCGCTGGCTCTGCAGCCCTCACGAGGCACGTTAGTCCCACTGGCATCTGACCTGGAGCCTTCCCATGCCACGGATGTCCCCAACATCCCAACGGGAGCCCATCAGGAGCTTGGCTCCTCTGCAACTAAGAGCCCCCCACCCTGCCCCTCCCCCAGCAACACTGAGCACAGCCTTCAAGGGGGGGCATCTTCAGACAGCAGGGGCGGCCAGCCAGGGCGCCTCCCTTCCTCCCCAGAGAGGGAAAGGGAGCCTTTCTCCAAGACGGCCACGTAGTGACGCGCTGCACAAGGACGCACTTCCCACAGCTGTCCACAAAACCCCACCTTTTTATTACAGTCTGTGGTGTTCTTGTTGCAGGGACACTGGTGAGACAGACAAGACGCGCCGTGTGCAATGACCACGCTGCCGTGCGTGGGCCACAAAAGGCTCTTTACACAGAAAACCACCACACGAGGCTGTGCTTTCCAGAAAGCTGCGGACACCAGGAACGGCTGTGGCAGGAACGGACGAAGTCAGGGCCGCAGCCCGGGGCGGCTACGCAGCAGAGAAGGGGGACGGCCGGCTGGCGAGGCCACAGTGGCGGTGACCAGCCACGCGTGCACTGGGTCATGAATATCAAAAAGATACAGAATGTTTACTGAAAAAACACAACGCATGATAAATTGGACTTTACCCTTTTGTAATAAAAAATTTAAAACTTGTGTTGACTGTTTTGCACACAACAGGCTAGGAACTTTTCCCTAGACCGTGTTAGAAGAATTGGCAAGAAATGTCACCAGCAACTTTTAGAACCTTCCGGTGCTCTCCACCTTCCGCTCGGCCAAATCATCTTTCAAGAGGAGGCTGACACCGGCCCCGTCCTGACCCCGGTGCAGACCCGGGGGACCAGCTCTGAGACGCCTTGTTTCTTGCCAATCCGGATCAATTTCCTGACAGTCTCTCTCGCGGAAGCAAAGGGACTTAGCAGTCACTCTTCCACAGTTTAATTGTTTTGTCATTTTCTAGCGCAGCAGAGGCAATGATATTTTCTGTTGGGTGACAAGCTGTTGAAATCACAACATCTGAAAACAAAGACACAGTCAGAAACAGAGCTGTCCCTGTGCCTTGGGTTGTGGGTACCATCTCCGACTGAGCGTCACTGTCCCCCAGAAACGCTGGTAGCGCCTGCACACCACCCGGGAGGTCTCAGGGCAAGCACTGCCTACCGTCAACACAGGGAGCCCAGGAGAGGGGGGCGAGGGAACAGCAGCCGGTACCAGGGTGACATAGCAGGGAGGGCGGGCGGTGGGCCGAAGGCAGCAGGGAGAGCCACCCCACCTGTACAGAAGGATCCCCCCATGCCCCCAACCAGCAGCAGCAGCAGCAGCTCGGCACCCATAGGGAAGGAACATGGCAGCAAGACTGGCTGAGAGGCTGGCGTGCAGGGACCCCAGTCAGACCGTCCCTCGCGGTCCTCAGTCCTTGGTCGGCCACATCCCTCTTTCACTCGGGACCCTGAGCTGCCCACTCTCACCGCCTCCCACTACTGCTGAGCCCGAGTGCCCCTCAGGGCTGGCTCTGTCACAGCAAGGACAAGTCCACCCGCAAAGCGGAGCAGTCAGATCTAACAGGCTGGTGCAAGGTCAGCCACATCAAAGGGTTTACAGCTCCGACGTAAACCAAACCAACCCCAGCATGCCGCCGAGGACACGGGGGAGGCCCAGGCCCGCCGCGGAGCGTGAGCGCCGACGCTGGGTGGTGGGACACTTGCAGGCTGGTGAAGCTGCTCGAACGGAGGGAGGAGCGCCACCCCAGATTTCCACAGGGGCTCCACGCCCCTGCTGTCACTGGCCCGATGAGACATGGAAATGCAGGGGCCAGAGAGTGAGGGGGCAGCCGGGACTGGGGAGGGGCGACCTAGGTGGCTTGGGAACTGGCCCTGCCGCGGGGCCCACGTGGCTGTGAGCAGCCGGGGTCTCTCTGGGAGAGGAACAGGTATCCCTGAAAGGAGCCAGAACCTCTAGAATGGGGCATCGATGACCTCACTGTCCTCGGCCCAGGAAACAGAGCTGGCCGTGAAGTGGGACAGGCTGCATGCACCACCTCGAGTCCCAGAGCCACACACACTTCCAGACCAGAATGCCTGGCAGAACGGGAAGAAACAGGGTTCAAGCCAGGAGCCCTGGGTCTGAGTCGGCAGCGGCCCTGACCAGCTCTGTGCCTTGAGCAAGAGCTCTTGGCAGCGGCTCCTAAACGGGGCCAGAGGAGGAAGAGGGCAGACAGCACGCAGGCAGACCACGCTTCACTTGCAGGAACTGTCCCCAGACAAAAGGCGCTCACCTGTGTGGCCTTGTAATTTCTGTACAATCTCTTTCGTCTGAAGGTTCCAGATGTAAACAAGGTTATCCTCCGAGCCAGACACAATCCACTAGGTAAGGACAAGCAGGGAAGACAGGGTGAGGGAAAGCAAGTCAGAGCACGTGCGTACGGAAGGGACAGTCTCCGGTTATGCCCTGCCCCAAGCCCACCCCGCAGGTGGCTGTGGCACTGAACCCAACCAGAAAAGCCCTGCCCGCACCCCCGCCAGGCATGAGGCTTCCTCTCCAAGGGGGGCCAGCCCCGCCTGCTCTACCCCAGCACTGGCCTCGAGAACCCGGGTGCCTGCCTGCCCCAGGGGAGGCTTCCAGGCTGGAAGATGTTTCATTGGGTCGCCCTTTTCTGAGTCCGTGTGTGCTGCTAAGACTCTCCCCCGGTCTAAGACAGTAGCATCGAGACCAGGGTGGGTGTCGGGAAAACACGCTCCCCTCTCTGCTGGGGCAGGTGGACGACAGCCTCGGAGCCAGCGTATCCACCCAGGGACACCCTGAGTGCACAGAGCTCCACCTGCCGGGTCCCTGCGCCCTCGGAAGGTATGAGCTAGGCACTGCCAGCAGCGCGACACCAGGCTGACTGCCTCTGTGAAGGAGACGGACCCAGAAGCAAGCGGGACAATGTGTCCGGGGTACCTGGCGCAGTACACTTTGGTTCAAACATAGGAAATTCGTTTTGTGGGTGCAGAAAAGCATCTCTGAGAAGAAAGCAACCTGAAATAGGCATGACTTCTCGGGAGAGGAAGCTGGGAACGGGCGAGACGCTTCTCGGTGATGGGAGACTCACCTTCCCACCAGTAACAGAGAAATTGGCAAATATGCAGTATTTCTCATTCTTGTGCCCAGTGTACGTCTTGAGGCACTGAAACGGCATGGACAGGCTGGTCAGAGTCGTGGTTCCCCTTGATTTGGGGTGAGTCTACATGCTAAGCAAAGCGTTTTAGAAAACACTGACGACACTTAGTTCCGAAAAGCACTCTAAACATTATACGTATAAGCACAAAACCCACACGATCAAAGCTTTAACTGGCAGACTGCCAGCTTACAAATACCCAAGTCTTTCAAGAATCCGTGCCAAACCCCAGTGGAGATGGCTCTCTGAGCTCCCCTCCTTTGTCATCACCGGGGCCAGCTCTGTCCCCGCCAGAGGCTATGACCCAGGGACAGTGGCCAGCTGCGGCCCAAGCTGGCAGGAGCTCACCTTCCCCTTGCTGTAGTCCCAGAGCTTCAGAGTGCTGCAAGACAGAAAGAGGGGTTAGGGGCATGTCCAGACGCGGCCCTTCTGTCCCCACGCCCAACTCTGCAGCCTCTCTGATGGTCACGGCCACCATCAGCGCCAAGTGCAAAGCCAGCAGGGGTGGAACCCCCTTCTCCTTCAGGATGAGGAGCCCCTCAGGCCCAAAGTCCAGCAACTTGATGACGTGAGAGCCTCAATTATTTGTAGTTTCAAAAGAGACTTTAGCAGGAAGCTGAAGGGTGCTATCATCCCTGACTCGGTCATCCTCAAAGGGGTGAGGAAGTTCTCTTGGTTCTGGAAACATCCAGAACAGGTTTTGCCACCCAACCACACAGCACTCAGAGGACTGGGGCTGAGGCTGGGAGCCACAGGGCTGAGGGTGCGCACACGGGAAGGGACAGCCCGGGAGGGCATCGGCTTTGTGAGAGGTGAGATCAAGGCGCTCAGAGGTCAGAGCCAGAAAGGGCCTTCCTGCGGGACGGGCAGGCCTGCCCGGGCCACAGCCACGGGCATATAGTCGCTCAACCAGAAAACCAACCCTAATTCCTCCTTTAGTCGGACCTGAGATTCAACCTCAGGCAAGGACGGGCAGGGGCCTGCACTCCGGCCCCACAGCCCACTCCCCAGAAGCCGAAGCTCCAGCAGGGGCCTGCACCCTGTACCAAGCCCACAACATGCTCTCCGGAGGCTCACGCTGGCGTCTCTGGTCGGGGAGGCCACCCGCCCACGTCCACGGCCCCATGCAGCACTCACTTGTCCAGCGTGGCCGCCAGGATGTATTTGCCATTCGGGGAGAATTTCACAAAAGACACTGGGGGGTTGTCGTCATCTGCAACAAAAACAGACAGGTGACACAGGGCGGGCACCGACAACTGGGCAGGGACAGGAGGTGTGCGCTCCCCGTCACCCATGCACGACATCTTAGTGAGGCTGCCACCACCTGTGCCAGCAGCACCACCCCCTCGGCGCCCCAAAGGGTGGCCTAGCCACCTCGCACCAGCCGTGAGCAGGTTCCTGACACCTCAAACCCATGCCCTGGGGGTCCCTCGACACCAGGACTTTAGAAACACAGGCCTCCTCAGGCACTGGGCCATGGGCACTCTCAGGCATCGCCTGCCTCACAGGGGATGGACGTGATTGGAGAATCCACAGCTCAACACAGGATGACTCCGCCAGCAGCAGAGAGAGCTGGGAAAGTCACCTCGGAAATTCTCCTTTAAGAAGTCATCGAGGCAAGGGGCATTCGTGCCCGCAAGACCAACCTGTTTGCTGCACACCCACAGCTAATGCCCAGGCCTATCAGCTGTACCCACAGCCCTGGGGGCAGAGCAGAGCTGTTCTTTCTCACAGAGCTGAAAACGTCAGTTTCCAGGAGGTGACAACCCCAGAACCCTCACAACGGGAGGAAGGCGTTTCCCCTCACCTGGGTGAGGAGGGAATCCCAAGGAAAGTGTGCCCCGGTGCAGGCCCCATCCCTGGGCCCCGTCAGAGCCCCTGAGCGTGTGCAGGCACTGGTGTGTCCCGAGCACCGGGGAGGACGCGGCCCTCGGCATTACCACCACGGGGACGCCCGGCCTCGCCAGGCACCCGCCGTCTCCGCTCCCTCAGCCCGGTCACACACACTGAAAAGGCACGGGAGGCGCTGTGAGGCCATGCAGGGCCACATCCCAGCACACAGCCAGGCAAGCCGTGGTCAAGGGGAAGGCTGCGGGGCCGGGCTCCCTTAACGCAGCTGATGGCAAGTGGCCCAACATGCCTGACCCAGGCTGCCTGGACAGAGCCCCACGGAGAACTCATCAGCCCACCTGCCCCAGTCCTTCAAAGGTCTAACTCACTAGACCTGAGGAGACATTGACGGAAAATCTGCTACACAGCGACCCTCCGTCCCCCACCCTCGGCTCAGGGGCGCACAGAACCACCTGGGCCTGGGCACGAATCCTGATCCCTGCACCTGCTTGCTGTGGCGCTCTGGGCCAGTGAATGAGCCTCTCTGCAGGAGGAGGACACCCCTCCCCGCAGGGTGGCCGTTGAGGGTCATGTGCACTCACACGACAGCGAGGCACAGAGCTGAGCACGGTGGCCCGGGCAGGGGACACCAGGGGCAATGTGATCTTGCTCAGGAGGGATGCATGGCAAAAGGCTGGCCCCACGAGGCAGGAGGCTACAAAGACCGCCCTGGCGAGGGAACTCACGATGAAGTCCACGCCTCCAGAGCCTCAGAGGCGACAAAGTGAAAATGAGGCCCATAGGGTGGTGTCCTTACGACAGGACATTTGGACACATGGAAGCACCAAGGATACCGGTGTGAAGCCAGGGTAAGGCAGCATCTCTAAGCCAAGGAGAGGTCTCCTAAAGCCTGACTGCGGCCACCAGAACTCTAGGGAAACAAATTTCTGCCGCTGAAAACCTCCCAGTCTACGGTGCTTGGTCTCAGCCGGCCCAGCAGGCTATGACAGACAGCCGGGGGAGTAAGGGAAGAAGAGCGCAGAAGGGGCGCCTCCCTACACGTGGGTCACCCCCCAGCCTCACCACCCAGCTCCCCCATCAAGGGGCAGCCCATCCCACGCTTCTAACCCAGGCCTCTCAAACATGAACAGCCCCCGGATGAAAACCCTTCCACCCCCTCCTGCAGGCCCTGCAAGGGCAGCTGAAACCCCGGGCCATCACAGACCCTCTGGCTACACTCTGCCCGGCAGCCAGCCTTCCCATCCAAGCCATGTCCCTTCTTCCCCTCCTCCCCCAGGTGTGGAGTCCTCTGTGCCTCCAGGGCACCTCCCTCCATCTCGGCAGCCCCGGCAGCAGGTGGGTGTGTATCAGGACAGGCGCTCAGCCCGCCTACTCAAGGAACAATCCGAGAGGCTGGCATAGCAGGGGCCTGAAGCCAGGAGACGATGGGGGTGCCCAGAGGACGCCAGTGAGCAGCCAGCGTGAGGCCCGACAGCACAGGCTGAGGAACCCCAGACTGACCCGAGAGAAGAAAGGCCACGGCGGGAATATTTCACTCGAAGGAGCAACAGAGCCAGCAAGCGGTCAGAAGGAGCTGGCGGGAAGGGTCGGACAAGGAGGAAGGTTCCTCCCGCAAGGGCAGGCCCAGGGCAGAGGGGGGAGGATGAGCTAGTGAAGAACAGGGGCAGGGAACACAGCGGGGCAGGAGCCGCACTCACCGATGAGTGTCTTCAGGCACTGGCCGGAGGCGGTGTCCCAGATGCGACTTCAAAGCAAAGAGAACAAAAACGTGTAAGCAGGCAAGTCAGGAACACGCGAGGGCTGCTGGGAATCCAGTTTTAGGCCAAGCACGCTTCTCCTGATGTGTTTTTTTAAAAGTTATGCTTCACCCATTTAACAGTCATTCTCTTCTCTTCTAGGGACAAAGACTAAACAGTATACACACAAACAGAAACAGGCCACACACGCACAGACCGTGTGTGGGGACCGCTGGATCTCTCCCACAAGCCGTGGTTTACGCCAACACAGAGGGGAAGCCTGTCGCTCTCTCCACCTCCCTGGCCAAGGAGAAGGGCACCACAGCCCAGGGCTTCTCCTGCCACACACACACAAGCAGGGAGAGGGGGCTTTTTGTTAAATAAAAATGTAAGAGTACTGTAAGCAGTTTTCTGGACTACTCCCGGAAGGGAGGGGCCAGGCATTTACACTGTTCCAGTTCCAGGGTTTCTGTGAGTTCTGCCCCACACAGACACATTCTGGAAGCAGAGCCCACTGTTAGCACCCACACTTCCAACGCACAGATGCCAGCAGCAGGGCACAGGCTTGGGACAGACGTGGACAAACTGCTCCTCAAGCCCGAGACTCCACAGCCGCCATGCACGGTCCCTCCATCTGTCACCCACGGATAAGCCGGCCCCTGCGGGGCCCCGTGCACTCCACTCAGCACACCCCCATCCTGTTCCGCCCACACTTCAGTTATCCAGGACCGGGCCACACTGGACCTCAGCCACTGCAGGGTGTTAAAACCCAGAGTGGCAACTCTCCTCCCAATGCTGCATCTTCTCAGTTCTCTCAGCAACAGTGCACCCTGCGTCCATGGATGCTCAAGTCACTGCCTCCAGCTCCACGAGCACCCACAGGGCCTCTCCGGGAGCTGCCCGGGCCACGAGGGCCTGGTCTCCTAACCTCACACCACGAGTGTCCTACCAGTTCCGCTTCTCGTGTCCTCCGTAAGTCCTGCTTTCTCAGTAGCTGCATTCCTAAACATCTTAGCCCTTTTGTCACTGTTAAACTGGGAACATTTTTCCCATCTTCTAACTGGCAATTCTCAGTATAAAGAAAAACATTCCGGCCGGGCGCGGTGGCTCACGCCTGTAATCCCAGCACTTTGGGAGGCCGAGGCGGGTGGATCACGAGGTCAAGAGATCGAGACCATCCCGGTCAACATGGTGAAACCCCGTCTCTACTAAAAATACAAAAAATTAGCTGGGCATGGTGTCGCGTGCCTGTAATCCCAGCTACTCAGGAGGCTGAGGCAGGAGAATTGCTTGAGCCCAGGAGGCGGAGGTTACGGTGAGCCGAGATCGCGCCATTGCACTCCAGCCTGGGTAACAAGAGCGAAACTCCGTCTCAAAAAAAAAAAAAAGAAAAGAAAAACATTCCCTTTTCAAGCCCTGATGGCACTAAACGCGAGATCACACCACGGAGCCAGCAGGGCTGAGGTTCTAGGCCCGGACTCCAGAGCCGACACGGGTCTGGGTCCTACGCTCACCAACTGAGGGACGTGTGTCCCTGCCTCAAAAGCAGGGGTGACAGTGCCCATGTCAGAGGGTTAAATGCTTGAAAAGCACCGCGTCGGTGGCTTCTAAAAAAATTTTTTTTCTAAGATGGAATCTTGCTCTATGGTCCAGGCTGGAATGCAGTCGCAGGATCTCGGCTCACAAAAAACTCCACCTCTCCCAGGTTCAAGTGATTCTCCTCCCCCAGCCTCCCGAGTAGCTAGGACTACATGCCCGGCTGATTTTTGTATTTCTGGTAGAGAAAGGGTTTCGCCATGCTGGTCAGGCTGGTTTCGAACTCCTGACCACATGATCTACCCACCTTGTCCTTACAAAGTGCTAGGTGAGCCGCTGCACCCGGCCCATATCTACAAAGATGTGTATCTCTATTCAATTTTCATACGACTATTATTTTCATTTTCTTACATTAGCTAGAAACTCCCAACAATGCTGAGTACCACGGGAAACAGGCATGCCTGTCTCGCTTCTGATTTTCACAGAAGTAGTTTCAGCATGTCACCACATATGATGAAAATGACTAGTTACCAGTGAATAGTCACCAACACTGGTCTGTCTTGCTGAAGGGCGGACCTCTACTCACAGGGACCTTTAACACCACTGATCTGTTGGCAGATAACAGGTTTCCTGATGTCTGTGGTATAATCCTTTCATTATTTAATCATGAATACTGAAGTACTTGGCTGTGGAAATTCCTTTCTGTGCATGAGGCTCAGAGGCCTACTACTTCTCCTGGAACCCTGGCATCAGTATTCACCAGTGAGTTGCCCTCTCTGGTTTTCCTTTGGGACCAGTAATCAAAGCTTAGGTAGCGAGGTCATGCTAAATCCAAAGAAATGAACCAGGGAGCTCCCTCCCGTCTGTGATCTGGAAAAGTTTGGATTAATCTTAGCAGCTCGATTTTTAACTGGATTCAAGTACAAGGTCACAGGGAATGATGTTATTTTTAGGCCTTCAATCCCTTTTTCCAGCCTCTTCAGCAGTGGCTGGTCCCTCCAGGCACCTTGGGTCCCTTTAGAAATGTGGACAAGCCTTGCTGCTGCAGCCTGAGGCCACTCAGCCTGAACGCGCTTCTTCCTCCTGCTTCCTCCTCCTGCAGTGTTTCCACCCACTTCCTATTTCTAATCTGGTTTATTTTGCTTTTTACATCAGCAGTCTCATCAAAGAATACACCTGATTTCATCGGGGCCCTCATTTATTCCCCATTTCCCTGATTTCCTTAGTATACTTCCGATTTCTTTAAAAAGTTCTTAGAGCTGGGTCCATGAGTAATTCTGAGACTGTCCCGTGCTCACTTCCCTGTTGGTGACACACACACACGGAGGGGCCGGGAGGGTGGCACCAGAGGGGCCCTGGCAGCTCCATGCTCCCCCATAGCTGACCATGTGAGCCCTTTCCCTCTGGCTGTTTCCAAATTGTACCCTTTATAACAAGCTGCTAAACGGTCAAGTGTAATCCATGGCTTTAACCATGGCCAATACTGGCCAATGTGGGGCTCCAGATGACTTCATTTTCGCCACAGCACATCCCAGTGACCTCGGCCCAAACCCCCTCACAGTGCTGGAACTGCAACTTGTACCTTGCAAGGTAATGGCCGGGAAGTGTATACTTTAGAGCCCATGGGTATGCTGGTGGTCAGGTGCAGCTCTGACTCCGATCCTCTCCCACCAGACCCATCTACTCAAGACCAGTGAGGGGACCACACATGGTGACTACAGCTGGGACCCCTGGGGACCCCTGGCCAACAGTCACTGCAGTCAGACTGGCAAACAGATTTTGAGTGTGCGTGTCCACCTGAGGGTTCCCTACAGGAAGTCCTAGTAAGGTCTTCAATTCAGCCAGTAGCTGCCACCGTCCCCCTCCTCTCTAGTGACCAATCTGAACAAGTTATGATGCTGTCCGCCCCCCATCCAAAACACAGCCCAAACCCTCCGCTCCCGCCACATGCTCCCACCAGACATTTCGCCGAGTTCACATCTGCCGCTCCACTGCCCTGTCTCCCGAGGGGCGCTGGACACCGAGATTACCAAGTCCAAGTGCTACCAACACCACCTGCTGAGACCTAGGTATGTTTTTTGCAGGAGGCCGTCCCTCTTCCTCCTGCCCTTCTCTACGCTGTCACCTGCTCAGATTCACCTGCCCGGTTTGGTGACTTCCTCACCAGGCACGACAGCACACACAACATCCTCCCGGATCTGCACGGCTTTCCTCTCAAGGGGTTCAAACACCCATTTTCCATGAGCATGTGAAGTGAACATGTCAGTGTCTACATGGAGCTGAAGTCTGATGGAGGAGGCCCTCCCTGACCCACCCTAACGACAGCCACATCCTCCAAGGCACGCCGCCCCGTCACCTGTGCTGTCAACCCCGAAACCGCTGTGCGTATCTGCTGACATGTCTGCAGTGTGGCCAGCAGAGAAGCTTCAGAAGTTAAGGACTCGGGTCTTTTGTCACTGCTATACCCCTAGATGCGGGAATAGTGCAAGAGCTGACCCTCAGTAAGTACTCATTGATTAATGAAGTAAAATGCTTTCACTTACCAGAGACCATCATAGCTACTTGAAACTATCAAGGATCCATCACGATTAAAATGAACCTAAGAATGGAGGAGGGAGAAGAGACAAAACCTTACTTTCAAGTCATGGACGCAACTGCTTCTTACTTGATCTCAAAAAAAAAAAAAACTGTATTGTTTTCTTTCTTTCTTTCTTTTTTTTTTTTTTTTTTGTTCTTTGGTTTGTTTTTTCTTTAGTGTGTTGCCCAGGCTGGAGTGCAGTATCACAATCTCAGCTCACTGCAACCTCCACCTCCCGGGTTCAAGAGATTGCCTCAGCCTTCTGAGTAGCTGGAATTACAGGCACCCACCACCACGCCCGGCTAATGTTTGTATTTAGAGATGGGAGTTTCACCATGTTGGCCAGGCTGGTCTCGAACTCCTGACCTCGTGATCCGCCCACTTCAGCCTCCTAAAGTGCTGGGATTACGGGCATGAGCCAAGGTGCCCGGCCAAGGTATATTGTTGCAAAGAAACAAACACAACCAACAAAGTCCCACTCAGCCTCATAAAAAGAGCAGCAGCTTCTGTCTGTCTGCCCTGCTGTGAGGACAGCTTGACAGGGTTATTACAGTTCCACTGGCTTAATAGTAATCATTTCCCCTGGCTTAATAGTAATAAAATGAAATGACACAAAGTCAGGAGAGAAGCCAAGATCCACTACCAGTAGAAACAGGCGGAGAAGAGCATGAAGAAGAGAGCTGACAACACCCAGAGGTCGGTCCTCAAGACCCACGAAGTCCTGGTCTTGGCCTAATACTGTTAATTCCTTAAAAAAAGAAACTGCAGGCTGACAACAATCCCTTTCTTATAACTGATCTGCCTGGGTTTTTCCTTTCTTTTTTTCCAACTGAATCTTAGAACAAATGGATTCAAACCCACAATGTCAGGAGTCAGAGGTTCATCATAAATTTCTATCATTTTTATTTGAGCCTCCAGACATTGCCATGTGTCCCCAGAGGCAAATCCACATGCATCAGAGGCATTTTCAAGCAGCTACAGCAGAGACCACTAGGCCCCAACCACAGGGCTTCTGATGTGACCAGTCCAGGCCGGGGACCAAGAACATGAATTTCAAACAGGTTGCCAGGGCATGCTGCCTGCTGCTGCGCCCGGAGAAGCACTAGGCTACTCTGCAAGAGCCTGCCAGCCACGTGCCACTGTAACTGTTCTAGCAGCTACATTAGAAAAGCTTAAAAGACAGGTGAAACTAGTTTGATAGCGCATAACCCAATGTATCTAAAACATTATTTCAACACAATCAACGCAAAAAGTTATTACAAGACACCTGATATTCTTTTTTTATACCAGGTCTATGAAACCTGCAAGTACCTCACACAGCCCTCAGCTCTGGGTCACCATGCAGCTGGCAGCCTCCGTGCTGGGCATGTGGGTGCCGCGGCCCTGGACGACATTCTCCAGCAGACGCAGAGTGGGGAGTACCTCTTTCTGCTGACAGGCTGCTCCCGCTGGGCCAGCTGCTTCACTGTAATCATCTGGTCAGCAGCCTCTCTAAGTGCCTTTCTAACTCACAGTGATCAATCTAACCACATTTACCCTGCCTTTAAATCTGCAAAACAGTCTTTTATCAAGATCATTCCGTTGGATGGTAGTGAGTCAACTCAAATCCCCAGAGCTCACAAGGCCAACTCCATGCTTTGCTTTGTTCAGCTTTTTCACCACGTGCAAACACTACCCACTGGCAAACAGTGCCCGGTTCTGCCATCCCACCCACGCTGAGACGCAAGGGGCAACACAGCCCGTCCCTTGCATTCCAGCAGCAGGCTGCCAGAAAAGTTAAGTGCTCGGGAGAACTAGACAAGGCAGGCCGGTCTTAGTCTCACGGTGGCTCACATCTGTAATCCAAGCACTTTGGGAGGGTAAGGCGGGTGGATCACTTGAGGCCAGGAATTGGAGACCAGCCTGGCCAACATAGCAAAAGCCTGTCTACGAAAAATACAAAACTTAGTCGGGTGTGTTATAGTCTCGGCTACTCAGGAGGCTGAGGCAGGAGAATCACTTGAACCCAGGAGTCAAGAGGTTGCAGTGAGCCAGGATCATGCCACTGCACTCCAGCCTGGGTGACTGAGTGAGAGCCTGTCTCAAGAAAAAAAGAAATCATTAAGAAATAGGTAAGGCAACCGGTCAGAACCCAGCTGAGGACGGAAAGACCCCTAGCAGAAGAGCACTGCAAGGGCTCTGGGGAGCTGACTTGGGCAGACAAGCACAGGCAGAAGTTCCAGGGCAAGAAAAACACAGGTCTCGGGTTCAACAAGGACGTGAGGGCTGTGGATGACGGGGGTCAGCAGCAGCCCTCGGCCAAGGAGCCCCGACCAGAGAGGGCAAACCTGGATTGAGGAAGGACAGCGATGGGGGCAGTAAGCAGGGAGCCACATGCCCCAAAGTCTCCAAGGCTCCAAAATGTACCTGTGAAAAAGTTAAACACATCCCGACTACTGCATTTGCCCTTCCAAGGCCATCCTGTAGACACTGCCTTAGACGCACAGAAAGCCGTGTAAACAGAACCCCTCTGCACTCCTTCTTACCTAAGTGAGAATTACACATCAGCACCCACTGAGAGGTGGCAGGCAGAGTCCCCGCTCACACAGCAGGCCCGCACCAGCAGGCCAAGGACACAGATGTGTGCAGACATCCAAAGTGGCCCAGGCCGGGCGCAGTGGCTCATGCCTGTAATCCCAGAACTTTGGGAGGAGATCAAGACCAGCCTGGCCAACATGGAGAATCCCTACATGTACTAAAAATACAGAATTAGTCTGGCGTGGTAGTGGGCACCTGTAATCAATCCCAGCTACTCAGGAGGCTGAGTCAGGAGAACCACTTGAACCCGGGAGGTAGAGGCTGCAGTGAGCCAAGATCACACCACTGCACTCCAGCCTGGGCAACAGAGTGAGACTCCATCTCAAAAAAAAAAAAGAAAGAAAAGCCCCAAAACCTCTCTGCAGTGGAGGCAGCTGTGGTGCAGCACCAGTTATTTACAGGACAGGAATGAGCCACCCTGGAAACTACACACCTGAAAAACAAAGCAGAAAACCACAGAGGGGCAGACTTCATCTCCCGGCAGCTGACCCCACGGGTTGCTCAGGGGACTGATGTTCTCCCTCCTACGTTTGCTCACTTTTTTAGTTTCTTTCCCAAGATACGGGATCTCACTCTGTCACCCAGACTGGAGTGCAGTGGTGTGATCTTGCTCACCGAACGCTCAAACTCCTGGGCCCAAACAATCCTCCCACCCTGTCCTCCCAAGTAGCTGGGACCACAGGTTCACAACACCTTGCCTGGCTAATTTTTTGCTTTTTATATACAGACGGGGTCTCACTGTGTTGTGCAGGCTGGTCTCAAACTCCTGGTCTCCAAGGATCCTCCTCCCTCAGCTTCCCACAGTGCTGGAGTCACAGATGGGAGGCATGGCACTCACCCGGGTTTGGTTTGTTCTTAATGAGCAACATCACTTTTGTAGGAGAAAGAGAAAGATCCTACCCATCACCCCAGAATCCCACATGCAGCTCTCTCTGGCCACTAGGACGCTCACGGAATTCTTTCTTCCAACTCCAAGGCCACCAGGTGAACCCCTTTCTCAGGTGACTTCACAAGTGCTCATTTGTCAATCCCAGTCTCTGTGACCCAAGGTGCCCTTGGAGGGCAGGGAACTGACACCAAGGGGCTGGGCCCGAGAGCACACAGCGGCATGCACAGGGCCACATGGCGCCATCCCCACAGCAAACAGCCTCCCCAGAGCAGTGACTCTGGGCCTGCGAGGGCCACGTGGCCCGGCTGTCTGCGAGGCTGAGCCCGCAGTCCCGCCTCAGCCTGACACACTATCTGTCCTGTCCGCATCAGGGCTTTGCCCACCATCTCACTTGGGCAAAACCTTCCAAGGGTAAAAATGCTTAAAACCCTTCACCGCCAAGATAACAGCAAGTGAAAGGGACATGGGCAAGCAGCATGGGACGAACGATGCACCCACCATTCCTTCCGCTTCTCAACGAAGGGCAGACTTGGCCCTGAAACTGCCTCATGTGCTTTGTTAACAGAAGAACCTTCTGGCCACTTTGTGAAACGGAACAGTGTATTATGATACTGCGTAGTTTAACTCTAGGGCATTTGTTGCCAAGGCTGGAGTGCAGTGGCACATTCTGAGCTCACTGCAACCTCCGCCTCCAGAGTTCAAGAAATGCTCCAGCCTTAGCCTCCCCAGTGGCTGAGATTACAAGCACCCATCACCCTGCCTGGTTAATTTTTGTATTTTTAGTGGACGAGATTTCACTATGTTGGCCAGGCTGGTCTGGAACTTCTGACCTCAAGCAATCCACCACGCCCAACCTCTTGGTCATTCGTTTTGCACAGTGGCATGGCAACAGCAAAATGGCAGGACATGTCCCTGTGCAGAGCCTGTTCTTCAGAGGGCTCCAGCTTCCAACAGTTCCCATAGGACTGGGTCATCGCCGCCCATCCAGTCAAAGCTAATTCCACTCAAAACTCACACTTCACCCCTGCTCCCACTCCCGGTGCCCTTCCCTGCCTGTACCCTTCTTGTCCCATGTATCCGTTCAAGGTACACTGCCCCCTGAATGCTTATGGCCACCACCCCCACAGCCTGCTCGAAGGGCCCCTTGCTACTCACCACAGGGCACCCTACTGACACCTCACCACCCCCTCGCCACCCCTCCGCTGCACACGGGACTCATCTCTCAGGTCCCAGCCTCCAGCCTGATTGCTTTAGACTTTGGCATAACAGCAGGAATCAGTTAGGCACAGGCCACACCCAGGCTTATGTCCACCACGGAGACAGCTGGCCACATCCAATGTCAGGGGAATGCACCACCACCACCACTCCGTCTGTGTCAGAGCAACTTACGGCCGAGACTGGATCCGAGTGAGCTGGCAAAGTCTTGAGGCACTTCCCTGTCTTCACATCCCATATCCTCACACTTTCATCAAACTGAACAAAAAGAAGAGATCAGAGTGACTTTCACAGGTAGGAGAGAGGAGACAAACCTCCCCAGAACCCAAGACCTCCCAGCCCCTCCTCCCCACAAGCAGCACAGAAGAGACTCCGGGCCTACCTGCCTTCTCCATGGTTGCTAAAACCAAATTCAACAGCCCTCCCACATCTGACACAACCGCCCCCAGGGAAGACAGCCGGCCACACTTACGGATCCTGAGACAATAAGGTTGGACTGGGGATTGAAGTTACAGCAAAAGACATAATTACTGTGTCCCTTCAGGGTTTTTAGACACTTTCCCTAAAACAGAGTATTACTGCGATTATTCCAGTGGATCTTTCTGGAAACAACAGCATCAGATCACAGTCATCAATGCCTGACAGCTCAGAGCATGCCCACCCCCCCACCAGTGATTGGCTGATCCCCAAGTCCACCCAGTCTCCGCCCACCCACCTGCCCCGACGCCCCGTTCCCGTGAAGCCAGTCTTCCCTGGAGAGGAGCACTGAGTGTTGCTTACCGAGCTCACGTCCCATATCTTCAGGGTTTTGTCATCTGAGGCGGAAACAAGAAGGTTAGAATCTGACGACCAGGCTACATCGGATATTCCCTTGGGGAGAAAAAACAGGGTCAGTAACTTGGACAGAGTAGCTCGGGCAGTAAGAGGACAGAATAGGACCTGTGGGCAAAATCCCAAACATCCCCATTGCCCTCAGGAAATCCTCTTACTAGCGTTAAGCTTACAAAAGACACACTGCAGGGGAGGAAAACGGCAGGCTTTCTGCAGCTCTGCCAGCCTCACAGATACTCATCTGGGGAAGTCAAGTGTATCTGGCATTAAATAGAATATTTGGGAGGCCGAGGAGGGTGGATCATGAGGTCAAGAGATCGAGACCATCCTGGCTAACGTGGTGAAAACCCTGTCTCAACTAAAAATACAAAAACTGGCTGGGTGTGGTGGTGCATGCCTGTAGTCCCAGCTACTCAGGAGGTTGAAGCGGGAGAATCGCTTGAACACAGAAGGTGGAGATTGCAGTGAGCAGAGATCATGCCGCCACTACACTCCAGCCTGGCAACAGAGACTCTATCTCAAAAAAAACAGAGGAAAAAAGGGGGGAAAACTTAAACCTGAACCCACTGTTCTCAAAACGGCCCTGAGCACTCGCCCACTGGAGCTACACTGTTCAACAGCCAACTTCGTCGCACGGGGCTAAAACCTACCAGCTTGTGACCAGATACGGTTTTCTCAAATTTCCCATCGTATGCACCCCAAATTTTAATGAGTTTGTCAGCAGCTGAAAGAAAACAAAAGGATCTGAGGCGAGGCTAGGAGCAGGCCACAGGTGTCCAGTCACCCAGAGTCCAAAGTCTGGGCTTTTCCCACATGAGCCCCTGGTCATCGGCATGAACCCCACGGCTCGGAACCCATTCAGCACGACTACGTGCTGGAGATGACCAGCCCCCTTCTCCTCCCTCCCCGGGCCCACAGGCAATTTCAGCCTGCACTGAGGTCACAGTTCCAGGAGGAGACACATCACCCGCTGCAGCTGGAGCAGGAGGTGAGGAAGCAAGCCGCCCCCTCGATGGTTTCTGGTCTGCAGCTCAGACCGCCTCGTCCAGCAGCTAAGGGCCTCCGTGCTACGTACATGAACTCGCCAGCCACTCTCCATTCGGGCTGAATTTCACGGAGGACACCGCTTTGGTGTGGCCAGCAAGTGTAAACTTGAGAGCATAGTTTGGCTTCACGGGTGTAGGCTGTGGGAGAGATCAGTTAGCAGAAAGTCACCACCACTGTGCATTCTACTCGTGACCAGTTTGGATTCAGCTCAGATCTTTATAGCTCCAAAACCACATGACCGGTGCCTTCCATCAATTTCTATGTGGCGTCACTTTTCAAATGGAACAGATCTAAATCTGAGCCCACTACTTCCCCCTAAAACCTCAGTACCAACAGCACCAGCTGAGCCAGAAACGTCTGAGGCCCCAAGGCACGACCCCACCTCAAACCCACCTCTGATCCTGCTACAGCACAGGAGGCCCCTCCAGCCCCGACCCTGGTCCAGCACGGCCCACCCCCGACCTGCCCCGAAACAGACCTGAGGCCCTGCTCCCTTTGCTAAAGGTCTACAAGAGGGTCTGCAGCTCTGTCTGCGCATCAGGTCGCAGCCGGGGTGGGGGCAATTATGAAGAGATGTTTTCTGGGTCCTACAGAGACTCTTACAATCAGGACCAAGAGTCTCTTTTTTTGACAAAGCCTCCCTCCTCCAGGTGACAAATTTGGGATCCCGGACACAGCAGGTCACAAGCATTCATTAGGTATGTGGTCAGGAAATAAAAATTAGCAGTGACCTTTAACCGAGTAGGGAAGGCTAGACTTAGGAGTGTGAAATGTTTCCAAGGATCTCTAAGCGTTATATGCCCCCCAAAACACCCACAGGACTCTTGGGCACGCACCTTGCTCTGAGTGGCAGATGACGAAGGCGTCGGCTGTGCTCTGGCGGCCTCGGTCTCCGGCTTCTTCTCCTCCGTTGCCATGGCTCTGACGCTGGTCACACAGGGGATGTGGATGGAGGGTCCCAATGACAGAGGCAGTCTGCTAAGCAAGACGCAGAACAGGGGGCCAAGGCCAAGAAACAAACCATATTTTAAAAAATGGATCTTCAGGAAAAAGGATTTGAAGAAAAACATTTGACTACCAGTTGAGCCCTGTAGCAAACAAACCATTCCAAATTGAGGACCCTACTAATTACCCAAAGTCCATGCTGATACTTTCTAGCTGCTCTCCCGGGACACCTGCTCTCACCACTTCTGTAATCATCAAAGACCCCACCCTCAAGGTGCTTCCTATTTTGTTATCCAGAAGTCTGTAGGAATGCAGCAGTTTGTGCAAACAAAATGCAATTTTCTTCAGAGCCCTGGACACAGCTGGGCATGGTGGTTCATGCCTATAATCCCAGCACTTTGGGAGGCTGAGGCAGGCAAATCACAAGGTCAGGAGTTTGAGACCAGCCTAGCCAATATGGTGAAACCCCGACTCTACTAAAAATACAAAAAAAAAAAACTAGCCAGGCGTGGTGACACGTGCCTGTAATCCCTGGAGGCTGAGGCAGGAGAATTACTTGAACTGGGAGGCGGAGGGTGCTGTGGGCTGAGATCATGCCATTGCACTCCAGCCTGGGCAACAAGAGTGAAACTGTCTCAAAAAAAAAAAAAAAAAAAAAAAAAAAAAGAAAGAAAAAAGAGCCCTGCACACATTATAAAAAGAACGGCAAAAGGTTTCCTGACAGTAAGCTAACATGCCAAATGACAGAAGACGGCTTCAGGGTGCAGAAGTTCGGGAGCACAGCCAAATCCTAAAATGCACCCGGTGATGCAATCACGTTCACAGCCGCGCCTGAAGACACAAGCATAGGCACCCAGCGGTCTGCGCGTCAAGGGTGGGCTCCAGTGCCTCCATGCACAGGCTGCAGGCACGAGGCTGCCTTCCAGAATGCTAACAGCTCGCAGGCCTCGCCCCCAGTGAGGAGCTACAAAACCCAGCAAGCCAGCGAGCCAGAGCCAGCTCCGCCTGCTGGGATTCCCACATCCTGCCTTCTGGAAAAGCAGCCTCAAGTATACCAGCGATACTCTGAGCAAGACCGACACTGCAGGGGAGTGAAAAAAGACTGCAGTTCAACCGGTTTCAGCTTGACAATAAAAATTACCCAAAATCTGTCCAGTAAGCAGCTAGTTTCCTCTATCGCGAGAATAGATCCATTACTTGAATACATCTCATAAGAGCACAACAGGTTATTCTGAAAGGAGGGACAGCATTATTAAAAAAGAATGCCGCCGGGCGCGGTGGCTCAAGCCTGTAATCCCAGCACTTTGGGAGGCCGAGGCGGGTGGATCACAAGGTCGAAAGATCGAGACCATCCTGGTCAACATGGCGAAACCCCGTCTCTACTAAAAATACAATAAAACTAGCTGGGCATGGTGGCGCATGCCTGTAATCCCAGCTACTTAGGAGGCTGAGGCAGGAGAATTGCCTGAGACCAGGAGGCGGAGGTTGCGGTGAGCCGAGATCGTGCCATTGCACTCCAGCCTGGGTAACAAGAGCGAAACTCCGTCTCAAAAAAAAAAAAAAAAAAAGAATGCCACTGAGACATGCTTGCAGATACCACCGGACATCAGAACCCTGGAAGCTAGCACTACCATCCATCTAATGAGTTTACACACTGTACATTCTCGCTTGGAGCTTGAAACCGAAATCTTGCAAGGCTGCTTGTAACATTAAAGCGAAATGGAAGGCATCAAAAAGAGCACCTCTCAAAGTCTTCACGCAGGAGGAAGGCAGAGCAACTACAACACCCGCTTTACGGAGAACAGGTGTGGCCACAGATCCATTTCACCTGCAGCAAAGATTTCCTGCACAAGGATGGATCATGCTGCATCTAAAGCCTGAGCAACACACACACACACACACACACACACACACACACACACACGAGTGGGGAAAGGGAGGGGCAGGCCCTGTAGAGCTGCCCAGGGTACAAAGTGCCAGTACAAAGCCAGTCCTCGGTAAATGCCGGCAACGTGGTGCTTGTCATTAGTGGAACCTGGCCATGGCAATGTAACCCAACTGCTGCCTTCTCCCTGGCACGCTGGACAAGTACAGACAGAGGGAGGAGCTAAGGAAATCCAAGCAGAAAGCTGCAAAATCCACTGCAAAGGTCCTGGCGTGAGAGCCAAGTTAGGGCAATAGCTGAGTGAAGTGTGGCCATGCCCTACCCAAGTGAAACCCCAGAGGAACAGAAGGCAGAATAGGCAGCTCAGAGGGCCGAGCAGCTCCAGCCAGCCATCTACTCACCTAGGTGAGTCTAAATGCCTGAAACACCCTCAGGCAAGGCGCAGGAGACCGGTGGTCTTACAAAAGGAGCTCAACCCCTCCCAGCTCAGGCCCAACCCACCCCACCCTTGGGCTCAAAAAAACATTAACAAGCAGAAGAAACAAAGAAACAAAAAAAAACCCTTAACCTTAACCTGACTTTTAAAAATACCCTTTCTTGCCGGGACGCAGTGGCTCAAGCCTGTAATCCCAGCACTTTGGGAGGCCAAGGTGGGTGGATCACGAGGTCGAGAGATCGAGACCATCCTGGTCAACATGGTGAAACCTCGTCTCTACTAAAAATACTAAAAATTAGCTGGGCATGGTGGCGCGTGCCTGTAATCCCAGCTACTCAGGAGGCTGAGGCAGGAGAATTGCCTGAACCCAGGAGGCGGAGGTTGCAGTGAGCTGAAATCGCGCCATTGCACTCCAGCCTGAGTAACAAGAGCGAAACTCTGTCTCATTAAAAAAAAAAAAAAAAAGAATACCCTTTCTTGACCCTACACACCCACCAGTTTCTATCTACCTCAGTGATGGGGTCTGAGCTTGGAATTTTCTTTTTTTCTTTTTTTTTTTTTTTTTTTTTGAGTCCAGGCTGGAGTGCATTGGCAAGATCTTGACTCACTACAACCTCTGCCTCTGAGGTTCAAGTGATTTTCGTGCTCAGCCTCCAGAGTAGCTGGGATTACAGGAGAGCACCACCATACCCGGCTAATTTATTGTATTTTTAGTAAAGACGGGGTTTTGCCATGTTGCCCAGGCTGATCTCGAACTCCTGAGCTCAGGCAATCTGCCCGCCTCAGCCTCCCAAAGTGCTGGATTACAGGTGTGAGCCACCGCGCCCAGCCCAAAGCTTGGCATTTTCATAAACACCCAGGAGTTTCTGTGAAGAATCATTTTAAGGGAACAGGAAGGTTGGAGACTTGATCCTGAAGAAGTGGGGGCCGAGAAGCTTCCACGCAGGGTGATGAGGGGTTGACCCCCCCCCCCCGCCCAGGTGCGGCCTGGCTCCTCCTAGCAGCTGCTGCTTTTCATCCAGGTAAACCTGACCACCTGAAGCCCAGCAACTAAAGCTCAGTATGCTCTCCCGGGCTGGATGCCACCGGCGGATTCCAGAGTCCCTGAGTCCCCGAGGCGGAGCCCAGGAATCGGCCTGCGGCATGCCGTCCAGGAGCGCACGCTGCGTGCACACCGAATGAATCTGCATCCCAAACACCAGCCAGGTGGCCGGCCCGACAGCGGTGGGAACCCGGCGCTCCGCAGCTCACGTCCCGGACGGGCTCCCAGCCTAGGTCCTCCGCTTACCCATCTGTCTTCCCCACCGGCTAGCACGGCACCTGCCCAGGTCACAGCGCAAGCATTTGGGACACGGGAAAACGGACCTGGGTGGCTGGAAACTTGCATGCGGGACAGCAGAGAGGGTCGTTAGCGGGAAGTAACAGCCCAACCTCCGTCTAGTCCGGGAACGTAACCGCTCAAGATGGCTCTCGCAGACCGGCCAGGACTGGTCTGCGGCCCCGCGCGACGAGGCGCGGGGGACCCTCCGTTCAGGGTCGAGGACCCGAACCCCAGGACCCCACCTAGCGAGGTGCAGCCTGGCTGCCTCCGGTTGGGGTGAGCGGCGGGAGCGGGCTGGGGCGTTTCTACGAAGGGAAGCGCCACGTCCGGGGACTGAGTGGCTCGTGGGTCTGGTCCTTCCCTGGAGGTGGAGGGAGAGGAGCGATGTGAGGCCCCAGGGCCGGCGCTCGGGCCTTGTCAGCGGCCCGCCGGGGAATCGGAGGCGGGGGCGCCGGTGGGGGCGTGCGGGGTGCAAGGGCCTGCGCGCGCGGCCGTCCACCGAGGAGCCCGCGAGGGGGTCCCGGGCGGGGCCGCCGCAGTGGGGGCAGCGCCGGGAGCCGGGCCTGGCCGGAGGCCAGGCAGGGAACACGTGCGGCGGCCGGGGACGACGTGGGGGCTTCCGGCGCCGTCCCACTGCCCGCCTCGGGCTCCCCGGGCCAGGCGGCCGCCCACTTACCTGCCGGGCCGCGGCGGCGGGGCCGGGCGCTCGGGATGTCGCGTCGGCCGCCTCCTGGGCGGGAGCGCGGACTCTGCGCGACAAGGCGGCAGCTCGGGCGGGCGCCAGGCGGCGGGGGCGCAGTGCGCGTGCGCGAGGGGAGGGGGCGTTGTCCGAAGGCGGGGCGAGCGCACACAGCCGGCCTCTCCGAGAAGCGCTACGGGCCGCGACTGCGGCCAGAATGCCTCGGGCGGGCCCAACGCTTTAAAGGAACAGCACCGGGCGCGCGCTTCCCGCTTAAAAGCTTTTACCCTGACTTTGGCTGCTGCCGGCCCTTCGGATGCACTTCCTAAAAATGGAAGTGTAATAATACATACAGGAAAGTGCTAGTGTGCCCTCGCGTTTCCGCAGACTGAGCACGCTCTGCACACTGGGACAAGAGGCCCTCCGGGACCCGCGCAGGTGGCGTCGCCTGGCGTTGTCCCCGGAATCGAGGCGGACCGGGGCAGCTCCCCGGGCGACCAGGCGCCCTCTGGATCATCGCCGGTACGGATGAGAGCGCCACTGGGCGTTTGGAAAGGACCTGGGGCCGCGCCCGGGCGCAGTGCCCCCCATGTGGCCGCCCACCCCGGGCGGGCAGGACGACTCCGGCCCATCTGGAAGCCCCAGAGCTCGGAAGCCCGGGCTGCGCCTTCCCGCGGGGCCGGCCGCTCTTCCCGCCTCTGCAGGCGCAGAGCCCGCGGTGCGCGCACCTGCTCCTCCCCAGCCCCGCGCACTGGGAGAGCCGCGCTGGAGACACCCGCGCCCGCTCCGCAGTGCGCAAACTCACTTCGCACTGGGGCCAACCCTTTCCTCCTGGGCGGGCATTTTCACCTCCGGGTACGAGGGGGTGGTCCCCAGAGGAGGACCCCGGGGCTTAAGGAGAAGCTGAGCCTTGGCTACTGTGCATTCTCGCCTCCTGCTGCACTTCTTAGAGCCTTGGAGATAGGCACGGCCTCCCCACCCGCTCAGCTAGGCCTGTGGGAAGAATAACATGCAGTCTCTTATTCTCCGATCAAAAATGGGAACACAGAATATGACACAGGAACCCGTGCAAACAAAGGGACAGAGCATCTGAAATAAAAATGTCCAGGGAGAGTGAGGTGTGCGGTTGTCAGAAAGGCGGCACTGAAAGACTGGCAGATGGTCTGGAATCCCCTTCCCAGGAAGGACACAGAGAAGGCAAGGTCCCTGTGTGGTCCGGCAGGGCTGCGTGTGGATCTGTGTGCCCAAGAGGCCTGATCCCTTGGGCCAGGTGCCCTGGAGCATGGAGCAGTGACTCACAGGTTAGCAAACCCAGCTCGGATGACGGCCGTCTCCATCTCCGTCCAGCTGGCCGCCTGGGCCAGACTCCCCGCCCATCACCTGCTGCTCTCCCCTCCACTGCTTCAGGTCTACTTCACCCCTCCCCACCCCACCCCAGCTCCTACCTGGGTCTTTTCCAAACCTCCAGACAGAGAAACTCCTAAAATTCCAGCTCTCATCCGTCACTCCCCAGTTTAAAACTCAGAACCAGCTTCCCACTGCCCAAAGAAGTGTTTACCAGACCCCGCCTCCTCTTTCAAATTAGCACCGCCTCCCAAACCGCCTCCCTGGTTCCAGCCCCAAAACAAAAGTATTTCCCATCCTTCAACCCTCCGGGCAGAGCAAGATAAGGGGCTGGCTCACAGAAGCCTCAGAACTCAAACCAGGTTCCCAGCCACCCCACCCCGAGGAGATAGAGCCTTCTAGTAAAAATGAGAAAATCCTCTAACCCAGTTCAGCGTTTTTGCAATCCACCCCTGCAGTCATAGCTAAAATTCTGAAACCGGCCCAGCAGGATGGCTCACGCCTGTAATCCCAGCACTTTGGGAGGCCAAAGTGGGCAGATCACCCGAGGTTGGGAGTTCCAGCCCAGCCTGACAAACATGGAGAAACCCTGTCTCTACTAAAAATACAAAATTAGCTGGTTATGGTGGTGCATAACCTCAGCTACTTGGGAGGCTGAGGCAGGAGAATCGCTTGAACCTGGGAGGCGGAGGTTGGGTGAGTGGCTATCAGGCCATTGAACTCCAGCCTAGACAACAAGAGCAAGACTCTATCTCAAAAAATAAACTAAAATAATAAGATAAAACAAAATTCTGAAACCGTGTAATGCCAGCAAGGAAGAGCAATTTAACAAAGGCAAGTAATTTGCTTTACTAAGTTTTTTTTTTTTTTTTTTTTTTTTGGAGACGGAGTTTCGCTCTTGTTACCCAGGCTGGAGTGCAATGGCGCGATCTCGGCTCACCGCAACCTCAGCCTCCTGGGTTCAAGCAATTCTCCTGCCTCAGCCTCCTGAGTAGCTGGGATTACAGGCACGTGCCACCATGCCCAGCTAATTTTTTGTATTTTTAGTAGAGACGGGGTTTCACCATGTTGACCAGGATGGTCTCGATCTCTTGACCTTGTGATCCACCCACCTCGGCCTCCCAAAGTGCTGGGATTACAGGCTTGAGCCACCGTGCCTGGCCTTTACTAAGTTTTAAATCCTTTTATACCCTACCCAAACTGTTGTCAGGCTCAGGAAAAAATACTACAGGTGAAAATAGAAGAGAAAACAAGAATCACAGAAGAGGGGAAAAAGCACAAAGATTTCTTTTTTCCAAACGTTAACCAGGCTTTGGCCACCAGGAGTGAATTAGTCAATGGAACTGCTTCTCTGAGCAATTTTTTTTTTGAGTCGGAGTCTCCCTCTTGTCGCCCAGGCTGCAGTGCAATGACGCTATCTTGGCTTGCTGCAACCTCCACCTCCCATGTTCAAGCAATTCTCCTGCCTCAGCCTCCCAAGTAGCTGGGATTACAGGCGCCAGCCACCACGCCTGACTAAATTTTGTATTTTCAGTAGAGATGGGGTTTCACCATGTTGGCCAAGCTGGCTTCGAACTCCTGATCTCAGAAGAACTCCTGGCCTTCTCTAAACAATTTTTTAATAAATACAACATTTCGGCCGGTCCCAGTGGTTCATGCCTATAATCCCAGCACTTTGCGAGACCAAGGCGGGTAGATCATGAGGTCAAGAGATTGAGACCATCCTGGCCAACATGGTGAAACCCCGTCTTTACTAAAAATGCAAAATAATTAGCTGGGTGTGGTGGCGGGCGCCTGTAGTCCCAGCTACTCAGAAGGCTAAGGCAGGAGAATCACCTGAACCCAGGAGTCGGGGTTGCAGTCAGCGGAGATTGCGCCACTGCACTCCAGCCTGGCGCAAAGCCAGACTTCATCTCAACAATAAATAAGTAAATACAATATGTCTAGCAGGTTTCTCCTTACCCCGACTCAAGGATCTCAGGTCAGCCTAACAGTCCAAGTCTGCTGGGCACCCTCCCCACGTGGCTCTCCTTCCCAGGGCACCGCTGACCTCCCAGTGCCCACTTGGGCCTCCCAGAACCTGGTGAGTCTTCCGGCCCCCAGCTCCTCCACAGCAAAAATATCTTCCATTGTAATTCCTGGGTCAGTGTCCCCTGGGTCTGACTGAGCTGAGCCTAGCCCTCATCACAGACAGCACTCTGGGCACTGGCCCAGGAGGGTAAGGGCGACATCTGGCACCGACAGCACTGGTGTGCCCAACACTGTGTTCGGTATGTTACATTTAGTACCTCCTTGCACCCTCCCGAGAAACCGGTGACGTGATGCCTTTATTATCTCCTTTTTACAACGAGAAAACCAAGGCTCAGAGAGGTTGAGAAGCTGCCCACAGACCCACAGCCTGTGGGCACAACCAGGGAACTGAGCCCTGGCTCAAGGCAGGACCCGCACATCTGCCAGTCCACCCTTAATGCTTCTGGGAGTGGCCTCGTCAGAGACAGCGTCTGTGGGATCAGGAGCAGGCGGCCCGGCTCTGTGGTAGCAGCAGGGCTGAAATGCAGAACTCAGCCTCTTCTCATGCCTGTAATCCCAGAGTTTTGGGAGGCCAAGTCAGGAGGACTGCTTGAGGCCAGGAGATTGAGATCAACCTAGGCAACATAGCAAGACCCTGCCTCTGCAAAATAAACAATAAAAAAAATTAGCTATACATGCACCTGTAATCATAGCTACTCAGGAGGCTGAAGTGAAAGGAATCTAGGAAGAAAAAAAAAAAAAAAGGCCGGGCGCGGTGGCTCAAGCTTGTAATCCCAGCACTTTGGGAGGCTGAGGCGGGTGGATCACGAGGTCAAGAGATCGAGACCATCCTGGTCAACATGGTGAAACCCCGTCTCTACTAAAAATGCAAAAAAATAGCTGGGCATGGTGGCACGTGCCTGTAATCCCAGCTACTCAGGAGGCTGAGGCAGGAGAATTGCCTGAACCCAGGAGGTGGAGGTTGCGGTGAGCCGAGATCGAGCCATTGCACTCCAGCCTGGGTAACAAGAGCGAAACTCCGTCTCAAAAAAAAAAAAAAAAAAAAAACTTCAGCCTCTTATAGGACTTGGGACTTTCTTTATTTGTTTGTTTGTTTTTATTTCCAGGCAGTGCTTGGGACTTTCGAAGAGCCCTGCTGTCACCTAGGGACGAATATTTCCTTGGGGACAGTGGACTACCAAACTTGGAGAGCAAGGGCCACCGGCCGGAGATGGAGACACAGCCCCTGGCAGGAGTGTGGTGTCCTCGAAACAGGCAGCTGGGGAGCACTGGCCCCTTCCTGGCCAGCCCAAAACTTTGGGGGGCAGCGGATTCTGATGGCACTTGATTTGGAAGGGTGGTGGAAGCTCAGGGATTGGGAATGCCCAGGACCCAGAGTTTCCCGGAGCTGCTGATCAGATTTCCAGGCTGGCAGGCCACGTCGGCCTGGCCGCCATTCAAGGAGCTGCTGCCGCTGCCTGGAGCCCTAAGGCTGCCTGCCAGCCCAGGTCAGTGGGATTTTTTTTTTTTTTTTTTTTTTTTTTGAGACGGAGTTTCACTCTTGTTACCCAGGCTGGAGTGCAATGGCGCGAACTCGGCTCACCGCAACCTCCGCCTCCCGGGTTCAAACAATTCTCCTGCCTCAGCCTCCTGAGTAGCTGGGATTACAGGCACGCGCCACCATGCCCAGCTAATATTTTGTATTTTTAGTAGAGACGGGGTTTCACCATGTTGACCAGGATGGTCTCGATCTCTTGACCTCGTGATCCACCCGCCTCGGCCTCCCAAAGTGCTGGGATTACAGGCCTGAGCCACCGCGCCCGGCCTGGTCAGTGGGATTTTATGTCAAATTCCTTTTCCGTGGTAACTATGCCAGGACAGCCGGTTGGGGGATTTATGTCACCATTTCCCCATCCCCAGGACCTCCCCAGGGGCCCGTCAGGGTCTTCACCTGACAGCTTTATCCTGATTCGCCACTCTCAGCCCAGGTGTCCAGAAAGCTGCTCCCAGCCCCGCCTGTACCACTATCCTCTTCCCCTGGCCCTAGTTTCCCAGCACAGAGGAAGCAGGGTAGACCGGAGGATCCCATCTTCTTCTTGACATGGACTGTGCAGTTTCTTCCTCGTGTCAGATTCTCTCCTTCCACTCCGTTCTGCTTCCCACCAGCCTCGTTCTCCCTTCATCATGTCCGGTCCCCTGGCCACCCTATAAGGTGACCCCCTAGATTGCCCATCTCCAGTGAGGACACTCCACTTTGACCGGCACAGTCCCAGTTCCAGAGCTGGAGTCCCTGCCCCTGGCAGCCCCTCAATCCCGAATAAACCTGGATGGTCGGTCACCTGGGTTGTCCCTTCCTTAAGGCCCGTGCATCCTTGCCAGCATCCTGGCCCTCACCAGGGGCTGCTCCCTTGTCCACCTCCCTCACTACTGTGGGCTCATGAGACA